GACAAATTGAAAAAGACATAATTGCGAGGGCGGTCTTGCAAATAAAACCAAAACCCATACTTAAATTTCGTTTAATGAAATCAAAAGAAAGCAGCAGCAGAAAAGAAGAGATTTACGCTCATCGGATATTTGTGGTGGGTGGGCTGATTGTGGGTGAAAAAAAGAGAAGACATACTCAAGTGGGTAATTTAAATAAGATAATAAATTCTTAAAAAAATGTCAATACACATAGAGAAATGTGAGCATCGGAAGGGGTTCCATCTATATAGAGGATAACAATTATATGTATTTAAAGAAGAAGAGTTTATATTTATTGAATACACATATAAGATTGTTTATATATACGGAAATACAAAAAAAAGTAGAAAAAATTTCACGGACTGATGAAAGCATCTTTCCTAAAAATAGATTTTTTCCAGTACAGTATTTTTCGGTTAATTGCACATCAAAATTTGCACAAATTTTTGTTCAATTAACCAATTATCCGAACCAATTATCCGAACCCGCTTAATTGAATAGTTTGTTCAATTACAGTAATCACGTATAATTGGAACTTTTAATGATTGAAAAAAATCCAATGTCAAATACAAATTACGCTTTCTCGCAGTTTTTCCTTAGCAATAAACATCTGTTTTGAATTAGTAGAGATGCCACCTAGTCTTTTTCACAAATTATGTCAAATATGTATGTAAAAAAATGGCAGATTATTTTTCAATTATTATTATGCAATTAACCGGTGAAAAGTAAAAAGAAATTTATTTTTGATGACATGAATTTTGAACCAATTAAGCGGGAAAATCAATTAACGGGGTTTAATTATCCGAGAAAATGTACATGTATTTTAATATGAAATATTTTTTGCCCCATGATGTGGTTCAATTAAGCGTGGAAACCAATTATCCGTAGGGTCAATTAACCGAAATATACTGTATTAAAATTCTAGGCTCAGAACACAAGAGTGTTTTTATTTTAATATGTAAAAAAAAATGTTATCCAATAAACAGAATTTTCTACATAGTCTCAATTGTTTCCCTAAAGAAAAATAAAAATTTACAAAACTTCTCTATTACTAATATCTCGATCATCTGTACAGAGGACCATCAACACTGGGCTACAATACTGGTTATTTTAAATATTATTTTCTATTGGAAAAAATGATCGTTGGGTCACAGCACAATGATTTTTTAATATCGCTCAACTGAGTTGTATGAAAAAAAAATCTGAAAATTCTTCTCTAGATGTCTTCTTCTCTAACTACCTATGAAATAAAAAATATATATAATTTGGCTCTACAAGGCATTCTAACTATGAATTTATTTAAAAAGAATTCTAAACCTCTCCTTCTTTAAACTAAAATTTATTCCCTGTGTAAAAGAATGAACAACAAACCCCAAAATGTTCATCCAGGTTCACATTAAACTCTAAATTTACCATCTGTATTTTCCTAGGACGACAACCTCCCCCCACAGTAAGTAAACATTCACTTGTTTGATTGCAACACTAAACCAAATTTTAGTAAATATTTCAGACGCAACATCCTAACGAAAACAGTAGCTAAAGCAAACAAAACAAAAAAATACAACAAAAACTAAACACACAAAATATATAAAAAACTTTATACTAATATTTTGTAGTTGTGTATTCAGATGCTGGATCTCCATAAAAGATGTTCAAGAGAAAAGCGGAAGTAAACCCAGGCGCATGCAATGCAAAAAAACCAACATTTGAACAACGTGTTCGTCTGTTCGTCACTAAACTAACCACAGTCAACATGTCCTGGCTTTTGTTAGTTGCTCTCAGACAAGAGTGGTTGTTATTTTTCCAAGTACTTGTGGCAAGGAGGTGGAGGATAAACAGCCGAACGCCCAGCAGCAATTGTACGGTGCGGTATATTAAAAACAAATGACCCATTTAACTTAAGAAGCTTCAATGCGATTTCAAGAGATCTTCAGTTGTAAAATGGTCGTAACGGCGGAATTAAATGTTTGGGATTTGAAATTGTTTATACCAAAAATATAAGAAGGTGGTATGGAAGTTATGGGAAATTATTAAATGTTTTATATTACTAAATTCTATTGGGATAGAGTAAACATTCTTATTACATTTTGATAGAGTGACATGCAAACTTTCTTAAATTATTTTGATAAGCTCGTCATCATATCCTTGGTGTGTAGTGGTTTTGTTTTTTATTTTTTCACCCAACATTTCCGTTTGTAAATGTCATTTTAAATGTCTACGTGATTGTGTTTTGTTTGATATACTTGAGAGTGAATTTGAGCCCAAAACAAAGGAAACAAAAGTGGAGAGGATGTTTGGTCGTTGTTGTTTTTTGTTTTATTATAACAATAAATGTTATGTTAAATGGTCCAAATGTTTGGAACAAAAAGGAAATGTTCCATGGCAATTGTCTAAGGTCCATGTCATGCAGACAAACTTAAGGTAACATAAAACGACATACACATGCCAAAAAGTATTAGTGTACATGCTTGCTGTCATATATCCCACAACAATCGTTTTTTATTGACCTTTTGTTTGAACAATAGAATATAAACTGAATAAAATAAACTAACCAAAAGAAGTATATATATCCCTAAGGTCTAATTTCCCTAATGTAGTCTAAAGAAGGTAGACCGGTCTCAATGGAAATTCCTACACGTTTCTCTCACTCTTTCTTGAATTACTGTGGATATATTTACTTACAACATGTGTATTTGTTCCAACATGTTGGTATGCAAAGTGCTAAATACCGCTTGTATAAAACATATGAAATTCAGCGCATGTCCTTTGAATATAGATTGTGTGTGTGTTCCTTGTCTCTCTTCGTTGTATCTTTGTATGAGTTGCCTTTGGAAGTAGAATTCAGCTGTTCGTGTAGACTTTCCAGTCAATAAAAACACTGAGAAAAAAATGTGTATCACAAGACATAGATACCAAGACTTGAAGAAATAACAAACATATTAACATAACTTAATTGTGGTTATCATTTAAAGTCTATGTTTTTAAAAATCATGAGAAAATTCAATAAGGATATACAGAAGATACTGGCTGAATTATAAAGAGAAAAAATAAAACGAGGATATGTTCATAAAATGAGGATATGTTGGTTTATTAAAAGGTAATACGTCTTGAGAAGGTATTTAATCTATACCCCAATTTATATCTTCAGAATATATATAATTTGTGCCCTCAATATCTTCTTCTCTCTTGGAAAGTATTAACTTCAAAAAACGTTTCAAATTCAATCTCATATAAAAAAAAACAAAATTTGTATTAAAGTTTTAGTTTTGTATCCTTATTTGGTTTTAAAAGTTATACCGAATACAAAATATTTTATTTTTCTGTGGAATTATGTTTATATATTTGTTTAAAGTACGAATAAGTGCACATGGTTTTACGTATACACACACACACATTTATTTGCAGACATTTTTCAAGAACCTCATAAAATTTCAATTATTGTATTAGGAATTTATAATTCCATCTTTAATATTAGATGTTAATAAAATTTATTGTTATAATTATTAATTATAATTGTAAATACTTTAGGATTTCTAGTTATGACCAACATTTTATTATTAATAATTTATTTTATCGGTTTGCAATTACAATAACATTGTTAATGAGTTCGTTTTAATTAGGGTAAACCCATTTATTTCAATTCATTGATATTTTTTATTACTATAACAACTTACAAAATTTATCACAATATTCCCGAGCACTTTTCTTTGAAGGCATTTTGTTGTTAAATGTAATTCCAATTGAAAACTGAATATTCTAAAATTTGAAGCAGAAAAAATTCTTTCACTAAAATGCAAAATACACACAACTGCACCAAAAAACGAAGAAAATAGTTTTACAAAAAACACATAGGACTCAAATAACACAACTCGAAGTTGATACCTAAAATTCCAATTGACAACTGAGCTAAGGTTACCAAAATAAATAAATAAACAAACACACAAAAAATGAAATCATAACGACTTAAGCGAAAAATAAAAAAACACCTATTGCCAAACAACCGAATAGCAACAACATTTTGCCAGACAACCAGCTAAGTTACCCTTGAATTAATGTAAGGATATTTCACTTTCAAAATAAAACTATAACAAGAAAAACCTATGTATAGTCAGTCGTCCTGCTGCTGCTGTTATTAAAACATTCCTGCAAGTCTGGTCATAACAATTATTGACAAAACATTCCTGCTACTCTCATACTGGCTCTTCCTAATTGCATGTTAATATTATGCAGCATAATGTTAGGGCTCATAATAAAAGACCCGCCAACACAGTTGAACTGTTCTTGTTCTTTTTATAGGTACTGAAATAATACCAGTCAATACCTGCCGCCACCGCCACCTTCGTCTTCTTCTTAAGTGAGTTTTTGTATTCGTTTGCCAAGGAGTCCTTGTATTTTTATTTATGATAGATGGTCTATTATATTATGGCCTAGGATTAGGCAGCATAATGGAGGGTTCATATTGTTGTTATGTTTATTTTGTTTGGCATTTAACATAATTTCGTAGTTAAGTATGAAATGAATGAAGTTATTTCTGCACATTTGACAATATTTATGTTAGGTGCTCCTCCGGAGAAAGAATTTTAATTTGTATGGCATATTTGTATAGAAAAGGAATTAAGCGACAGCGGAAAGTAGTAATTCATTAAAATGAATATTATTATTGTACAATAAATTTCACACCACAGACCAATATGAGAAAGTAGAATGAATAAGTTTGACAATAAATGGCAACGTATTTCAAGATAATTAAAATTAATCAGGGTCGTGAGGGTTCTCTGAGAATCTAAAGTAACACGTTGCAGCAAAATCGGTTTAAGTTATTGAGGGTAACACTTAAATATGGATCTATGTTCATAATATCTTGCGAGGATATTATATACTCGATACTAATTTTTTCAACGTCTCTATCTTTATTAGACTATACCATATATTGCCAATATTTATTTAATATTAAAATATAAATATTGTAAATATAAACTTACCTCTTGATGTTGGATGATTCATTAATATTGATAAAGGACATTCATCATCATCGAGTATATATTCCGAGCCATCACTATTAACCTAAAATATATAAAAAAAATCAATTAATTTCCAATTTCTTAATGTTCTCTCCACAAACTCTCATCAAACCTGCACTAAACAATAATGTAATGGATCTGCTTTATCCAAACCATATTTTGTTAACATTTCTCGAACGACAGCTTGAGCACAATCACGTATCGACAATAGCAGAGTTTTATAAGGCACATCTTGACACAAACTTTCACCATATATTTTTAGCGTTCCACCCGTATCGGGTCCACCATCTCTTGAACGAAATTGTTGTAATTTCTTTTCAAGCTTCTGCTGGCGACGACGACGCATAACAGCTTCAGGATTTGATATCGAACGGGTAAATGATGTTTCGGGTAATTCAGTATATAATTTACCCGCTACTTGCGTTTCACCCGAATCATTACCATTCGATCCGTTGAGACCATTTGTTTGACTATTTGTGGTTATATTACTGCCATCCGTATTCAATTTAGCTAATTTCTCCTTTTTCTTTTGTTCCTTTTTCTCACGTTTTGATAGTTTTCTTTTGAAATTGATGTCATTTTGTTCAATTGGCTGTAAGGATAAAAAAGAAAATTATTATAAAAATTTAAAATTTGTTAAATAATGGGGTTACTTACCGTCGTCTTTTGATCTATGTTTTTCAGCAGAAATCTTCCCTCCCGATCATCGATATGCCAATTTAGTTGCACTAACAGTGGCTTCTCATCGGGATTTAGTCGTCTCTCTTCACCATTGGCATGTACTTCGTACAGAGCATAATTGGGTACAGACAGCATACGCATGTCAGGACGGAATTTTTCAATAAGAGTATCTAACAAAATGAAAATAAATATTTTTTATTTTGTAAAAATACTGAAAATGACAGGAACATTTTTATTACTATTATTAGAGTGTGGCCTCGAGTATTGGATTTGGAGCAGATATAGAGTAAATGGGGCCAAGGGTTATATGGGCTAAACAATTGTCAAGGAAAAAGATAGGGACATTGTATCATCGATATTTTGATGCAGTTGATTTAGGTACTTAGAATTAAATACTGCCTCCAATTGAACAGTTAGTGATTTCGTTACAGAATTTGCTAGAAACTTCGATATGATTTGTCGTATTTTATACGAATGGCTCATATTTGCTAACCAGGTAGGTTAGCTGGATATCGGAAGAATAAATCAAAAAGGATTTAAATTGTAATAAAAAACTCATTCAAAAGTAAGTACTTGAGGTTACGCTAGGGATGTTTAAGACCTCTAGAATTAATTGTATCGTAGAGATATCATTATCGAGGATAATGTCTTTGGATAGTAACAGAACTCTATAGATGGAAATAATTTGATATTCTGAAAGACCATATCCTACATTTTAGAAGTAAATGGGTTTTCAGATTATCTATAAACGTCCACAGCGGTCTTTTGACCCGAAAACTAATGAGGTGAGGTGTTCTGGTAAAGGTCAATATGTAATTTCGGAAAGCCAATATCAAACGTTGAAGTTCTGCAACTCATCTTCCTCCAAGAAATGGAAATTATTACTAGTACTAGAGTCAATGTAATTACAATACTTCTCAACCCATTATAGCTACTGTGAAAAAGTACGAATATTTGGAAGAGATCCATTTTTTTCGAAGGATATTATAACCTTTTATCCAGTTATCTTGGTAAAAAAGAGAAGCTGATTTGTTTGGGAAAAAATAAATACACCTGTACATATTTGGTGTCTATTGGTGTGTGGGAGTTGAAATTTTAAACCTCAACCTTTAAAACAATTATTGTAAAAATATAATACAATAAAGAAGCATAAAGTGTATAACATGAAAATCACATTCCATGCATTCTTGTTTTAACCTACTTTTTTGTCACTCCACAATCTTATCGTTAAATTTTATCTTATCATAAAATAATAACATACACACTGATACATACCTATAACATCTATAACGGTGGCATCTGATGCAACACGTATGCATTTGGTGGCAACCTTTTGACCGGCATCTTGAAAGTAAAAACGCATCACACCATGGAAGAGTAAATTCTGTAAAAACAAAAGAAAAGAATGAATATAAAAACACACTCGCACACATTGGAGAATTCCAAATCGGAAATTTCCATAAAAGAAACATAAAAAAAATAATGTTATGCATTTACAGAGTACATACATACAATATGTATGTTATGTAGGCACATAAACAATATTTTTTTTATTTCTAATACATACCTCATCTGGCTCGGATAGGGCAAACAAGTCCAAACGATTTGCATTCCATTGTTGTATAACCGAACGTACAGCTTCGCGATCCAACATTTTCTTGTTTGTATCATGAGACATTCCCTGGGGATGAAGCAAAAGTGTAATTTGACGTTTTTTGACGTTGTCCCCCCGCTTTATTGTCGAGGCGTCTATTTCTTGATGTTTGGAATACTTTATATTTGTATTTTCTGTGTTACAGTTGCTGAGGGTGATGGAGGGTGTTGTTATATTTGCTGGACGAAATACATTAATGCTGTTGGTTTGTATGGTCTATTATCTTGCAGCAGCGGCATTGAGGCAGTCAGACTAAATAAGTGACTGACTGTTGATTATTGAATCTGCGAAAAAACGAAAGGAAATATTGGGTTATTAGTTTTATGATTTCGTGGTATTTTGTACAAAAATATATAAAGCTATTTATGATCGATTTTTTTGATGTGCAAAAAAACAGTTTGGAATATTTTTTCTATGAAAACCATCATAATTTGCAACGGAATTTTTGTTCATATTTTGAACTTTTAAAAATTGTAGAAAAAATCGAATCATAAATAGTGGAATTAAATACATATATGAATAGATAGATTTCAATATCAAAACGCTATATATTTATAACGATGAACTAAGTGAACATTTGTGTTAGGAAATGATTTTTTTTTAAATTGATTTATTTGTAGATATAAATTTTTTTCCTGGACTCCAGTGCAATGTATTACGATATATGTATAACAAGGAAATATATTAAACTCTCCTTCTTTAAATATTAAAAGAACAAAACTGTCTTGGTATTACTTGAACATTTACGAATTGTGTGATGCTTTTTTAAGGGGCATGGAATAAACCATATGATTTGAACATAAAGAAGTTTCTTTTTGATATAAAATTATTATTGTGAACCATATGTCCGAGACAATTAGAGTAGGATCTTCCGGAGCGAAGTTGATCATTGGAACAATTCTGAGAGAAGAACGATCGGGAATAGTTCCACATTTTTGGTTCATATATATTAAAGAACTAGTTCCTATCTAGAAAAGGAACGATAAAGCTCGTTTCGTTCCATCAACTAGAACGCACCACTTAACAGGTATGGCTAAAAAACCGCTTCTGGCCAATTTACATGTATTTTTTAAATACACAAATATACAGCGATGGTACTAAAAGGCTTTTTGACCATGAAGTGGAACCTACTCGATCAAATCAAACGAATCTTTACCTACAACTGTAGAACGTAGTTACAAACCGATCAATATTTGGCATGAACAGCAAGGACACCAACTATTGCACAAAATTCAAGAAGACATTGTTTCTATGTAACGATAGATGACGTTCATCACCTCATTACTTTGAAAAGACTTTGGAGATATTAATTGCTGATCAATTACTTTGCATAGATCACTCTCTCCTTCCAAATTTTACGGCATGTGAAAGAACTACTTGAAAACGGTATACCTCTGGTGTCGCCAGAATTCAAGAACTTTTAAAAGTTTAAAGTACACTCTATTCCTCAACCGTTTAGCCGGTTCTCGCTGTAACAGATTCTCTGTAAATTAATACAAATTTAGTTACACTTTCTTTTATTTCTATTTATAATAATGGACATGGATAATGTATTTTAAAGAATATTTTTCAAATTCGCTTTCTATTAAATCAATTTTATTTGCCCTAGATTTTTTAAATTACAAATAAGGGCACATACAAAGAAATCACATTGCATTGCGCTATGGGTAACATTTTAAATCCAATTAGATACCGCACTAAATAAATGACATTTGACATCAATAAAACGAATGTTAAATCTCAGCAGAAGCGGCAGAGACAATTTCTGTGTAAGGTGAGACGCCATTTACTCTATAACGAAAAAGGTGAGTAGCTTGAGAATTGCTTTGTTTTTCGAAACAAATTTTTCGAAAACAAATTTTCTTTCCTTTCCTTCAAATGTCAGGCAGAAAACAAAACAATGATTTTTTAAGAAGATTAAAAACAACAGCAACAACGTGCCAACATTTTTTTTGTTTGCCAACACCTAAGCCATATTTTCATATAAACATCACGTTTATTTTTGCTCTTTGGTCTTTTTCCCCTTTTTGACAATTTAATTTCTGTCAGGTATTCTTAACAAAAAAAGCCCCCGCCCAATAATTTAAGTTATTTTTTTAAGAAACAAAATCATTCCGGTTCCGGTTTAAATTTTGAAAAAAAATATTAGGACAATTATTTACTCATTAAATGTAATAGAAACACATAATTATTTTTATCCGCCCAACAAATCTTTACAATTGTATTTAAATGTTACTTTTAGGAAACCTTTGTTTTTGTAAAACAAAACTCCCTTAAAAGTACTAAATAACTGTTGTCTGTGAAGTTGGGAAGATTGCTACAGTTTTAGCTTGAACAAAAAATTGGTGTGGTGTTCCACTTCAGTTGAAATGAAGACAATAATTTTCTCTTTCTTTGTCCCTTTTTAAACATAGGGAAATGTAATGGGTTTTTAAAATTTATTTCCCCCCTTTTATCTTCATAACCCTGACCATCAGCGCTACTGGTTGTATATTAAGTGTGATATTTAATTTAGTTGTAAACTTCATCCAAAATCCAAAGAGAGCGGTTACAGTAAAATTGTTCTTCTCTAACTGCTAATGGAAGAATGACAGCTGCTAGAGAGGATATCAATATGAGTTTGTGGTGCATAATTTTAGGCTTTCCAAGTGTAAAAAAATCGAATCAAAAATTATAATGCAATTTTATAAATCTCTAAATTCAATTCTATTTGTTGTAATCAGAACCACGAAAACATTTAAAGCGGAACTATGCTTCATGTGCGTGTTCCCATAACACCTTTTGCCAAATTGAAAATAGAATGAAAACCCCACGGAAAACTGTCACAACAGCACCACACAAAAAACTTAAACACAACATCTAATTGCTATTGTTTTGCGACAAGTAACTCTTAAACAAATTAACGTTTATTTTCTTCCTCTGCGGCTGATTTTTCTTCCACTACTACTTGCGTCTTCTGCGAAAGTTTCCTTCATTCTTTATTGTCGTTATGGATGGGTGGGTGCATCGTTAGGTAGACAAACTGCAAGTCTAACCAGCCAGCCAGTCAGTCAGCCAAATGTTGCAGGGCGGAAAATGTAAGTCAAGTATATAATTCTGTTGAGACAAGCCGTCAGACAGACAAATCGTAGTACTGTCCTGATGCGTTTCGGGGTTACGCTTAACTGATTGTCAGTTACAAAATTAAAGTTTGCAACATCTTGACATAAACAATGATTTTCTTTCGGAGGTAATTGGAGACATTATTATGGAGGCAATAAACTGCTAGAGAGGAAAATGAACTCCCAGAATTAATGAAAATTTGCTTTTAAAAATAAATATGTATACATAGAAATACTTTTTTTAAAAACGGATTCTATAGAACCTCGGCATCTACTCATGAGGTAACCGAAAATAGAAATGACAGGAGATGGCGACACCCAGCTGAAAGTGGCAAAACTAAATAAACAAGGACACCAATCAATACACAAAATTCAAGGTGGCATTGTTTCTAGGTAAGGATAGATGGCGTTCATCAACTCATTAGTTAGAAAAGACTTTAAAGATATTATATATCTCGGTTAATAATATAGATGTTGTTAAATAGATAAGTAAAATGCTGATCAGAATTCAATAACTTTTAAAAGCTTGCGGTAACAGATTCCTACGTTTGTAACAAATCGGTCTGCAAAAAACGTTTTAGATGAACGATTGGATCAAAAAGTACTAGGCGAACGAGAACAAAATGGAACTACTGGAGTAAAGATGAACCAAAGAACCGAACCTAGTACAATACATGGACAATCTAGTTCACGGGGCGGATCGATCACTCTCGTGCCTTTTTTAAGGAACTAGTTTCTTTGCTCCATATAGTTGCTTTGAATCTGTCTCTTTCAACTGCAAGATGATAATCACCAATAATTTAAATAATAATAAATTGATGAGCAAATGTTTATTGATGAGCAAATGTTAAAAATGAACGAGAACGAATGAAGAATATGGAATTAAAGGAACGATATCAGAAAGAGGAACTATATGAACTAAAGAACTGAACCTAGTTCCTATCATGATAAATAATTAACTTTATTACAAGAAATGTTTGAATTGAATATTGGGTTAAGGACAAAAACCTAGAACTGAGGTTAGGAATAGGTTTCGGAAAATTGTACCAAAGGATTATCAAAAATACAAAATGGTACTATATTTGGTACAACTAGTATTGCATGAATGAATGGAGTTGAAAATTGATTTTTTGGATATTTTGAAGTTCCTTTAAGAAAATTGAGAAAATTGAATTCGGCATTGGGGTCAAAGTTGATGAGTGTGCTAGATAAAAATGGACAGAACAATTTGGAGCAGTGTATTTTTTCCATATCCTTGGTAAAAACACATCAGCCATTGGCATAGTCAACAATGAGAGTCCTTTTAGTTCTTAATCCTGAAAATCTTCAAAAAATTGATTTCTACCAAAAAATTTTAAATTGCCATAAGTTTGTTTCCTAAAACCGAGCTTGATAGTAAGGAAGATCCTGTCATTATCCTAGTTCATGGGATAGCTATATACGTACAGAATAAAATGTTTTAAATTTGGAACGGATTGGATTAATAGTTTTTGAGTTTCGTGCCCGCGATTTGTAAAAACATTGTTTCGAGAAAACGCGTTTAAAGTTTGAGAAGTACTTCTGCCGTCGCTTGATGCTGTCATACCGTTGTACATACTTTTTTAACATTTATTTCAGGGATAATTTTCAGTCACAAAAAGAGTGCCTTTAGTCCATGTTTCCTAAACTAAAATGTCAACTTATTTATGACGAAAAAGGATATTTACTACTAAAAAATTCCTTTGTCACAATATTTATTACTTTATAGGTGTGTCCATTCTTCGCTTTCTTTTCTTTACACAATCATTTAATTTTTTGAAATAAAAAAATTAAAAAATCTTGAAATGACAACAATAAAACAATGACGAAAAAGGGCAGCAGCATATCATAACGTAAAACTGATTTTAAAGTTATGAACCAGTGGAGGAGAAAAAAAAAACAAAACAAATAAAT